AAGTATAGGAAGAGTAGCTGGCAAAGTTAATTATTCTATCTTATAGATGACAGAATGAAAACTAAGATAATTTAATTAATATAGTTGATTTATTGGAAGGTCAGAATTCAGACTCAAATCTTTCTACCTTCAAAATCCACCTTCTGAATACTTCATGTTCATGATGCAAGAACAATTTATTGAAGTGTGTTTCTGTGAGTTAGGCCCCTGTTAATGTATTTTACATACATTATTTTATTAATTTTCAGAGCAATGTACCTGTAAACTAAGTATCATTATTATTCCTATCATGTAGATAAGGAAACTAACACTTGGAGAAATTAACTAAATTCCCCAAGGTTACATGACTTAGCACATTGTATGAATTTATACCCATTTCTTTCCCTCGTTTTAACCATTATGATTGTCCTAGTTAAGGCAGTAACTTGAGGACTCATCAGAATTACGTGGAGGGTTTCTTAAAACAGACTGCTGAGCAACACCCTTTGAATTTCTGATTCTGGAAGAAGGTAGGGCCCAAGAATTTGCATTTCTAACTAGTTCCACCAATCTGCCAAAATCAGGTGCTATCAGTGTTTCGATTTGTAAAATAATCATTAGATATAACTTAGTTAACTCATGCTAAATCATTAACATTAAAATATAGCATATTAAAAATATATAATATAAAATTTTAGTAAAAAATATTTTTATTTACCTTAGCCCTATAATCTCTAAAATAGAATCTACTTCTAATCCCTCCACGTATTTCAAGCAAGGTTGAAATTCTTCCTGACATAAACTCTACCCAATAAGCTCTTCACAGCCATCACAACATTAAATGCACTTATTAGCATTATGTACACATGCATTATATAGAAAGAAATATGTGTAAAATGTACATATTCATCTATACTGAATTCAGTTAAGTCTCAGTTAGTCCTAACTTGATTGCAGATGTATTTTCCTAATTTAAAATAACATTCAGTCTATTTAACACAAAGGTGTTGGCACTCTCTCTCTGTCGTAAATCCAGTTTCTCCACCTCAATCCCAGTGAAACACTTTTTTACTACAGCTGGTCTCTGATTGTCCAATGACATCTCAGATTGGCAACATTACATTTCTTTAAGGGCCATATTACATTTGCATCACAATCTATGAGCATATTAGCCACAATCCAATTTTTTATTTCGGCAAAAAAATCTATACTTCTTTCCTTCAGCCCCTTTCAGGCTATTGTAGGTACTTTCTTATGTGTGCCATGTAGGTCAACTTTCATTTAGACTCTGTTTTCTGTCTAAGTACATACTTATAATATTCACTTTGGTTTACTGACTCACAGTGATCCAGTGATGGGTAAAAGAGGAATGAGGCAGCATCAGCCAGTTTTATGAACCACTAAAACTCTATACAGTGAGTGTTATACCTTTGAATTGGAGTCAAAATCAAGTTGAAAGTTAGCCCAAGTAGCAGGTATAAAGATGCTGGCACTGATGTGGTGACACTCTCCATGTAGACAGGGCCATGTCTACAATCCAAATTCCTGCATTTATTAGTCAAGGTGCTGCACTTTAAAAAATAATAATAAATCAACGGAAAAACAAACAAAGACCAAGAGCTATTTCTGGAACAAAATGCTGTAGGTAGAGAAGTAAAAAAGTCCTGCCAGCGCCAGATGAGGTGTGACTTTCTGAAGGAAGTGAATAATTTTTACTTCATGGTGAATTGTTAAAAGTGAACTAGATGATTAAACATAATGGAACAGCCCCATTAAACTGAAATTAGTAAAAAACATGCCTCTGGCAGCCTACAACATTTTATTTGTTGTTGTTTAACTTGCCTGTTACAGTGGCCATGATGAATGACATCACAAAAGAAAAAAATCCAATTAAAATCTAAGTGCTCAATAAACCCCTCATGTCTGCTTGTCATCACCCCCTTCACGAGCACTGAAGTCTTATGTTTCCTCTTTTCCCCAAAAAGAGAGAAAAGAACTGGCCCCCAGCGAGTTCACAGGGAGGAAAGTGGGGAAAGAATACACAAAAGCTTTCGGAGGCTTCTGCTCTGTGCACTCTGTCAGCCTCAGACCCGGCACTTAGAGGAGGATGAGGTGAAACTGTTTTATTATCATACAACGCCTGAGTGAAGAGATGCATTTTCCCACTAGTTTTCAAATATTGATAAGTCAGAATTAGGATAGGCAGAGCAACCCATGTTCACCCTCTTCGCTGGTGTCTCCACGGCCCTTTCATATCGTCTCGGGCATTTGTTCTATAAGTCATCGAAATGGTCTCTCCTGATAGCGAAAAATAAGTTTCTGATTACTTTTACCTGAATAAATCTTGTGACCAGATGTAATATTCACCCACTGAGTGTGCAACAATTACATATTGAGAGAGATGACAGAATGGGCCGAGGGGAGTCTGTAATCTAGTGGAACACAGAATAAATCACGTGGAAAAATGGCAATTGCCTCCTGGTAGAAGAATACTGGCTTTTGATAATAGATTTTACCTTAGAGATAACCAGGTGTTCGCAAAATTGGGTTTTCAAAGTCCTCACAACAAAGTTCTCAAAGTCGAAATAGGAGCAAAAACGTGCCTATTGTGAACTAAGAGCTAATAATAGTAATGATATCTTAAATTCGGAAGGCACTTTATAATTTATGAAACACATATTGTGTTTTTATTACGTTTATGTAGCGATTAATGTAATATTTATATATAGTCTCTAATTAGACCTTCACGACAGCCTTGTCCTGTAGCTCTTATTATCCTCATTTTATTAACAAAGATCCTGGCACAGGAAGGTTAATTGACTCTGCTACAAGCCTATATTTGGTGAGTGAAAAAGAATGAGCAAGGCCTATACGTAGGACTCCTGGTGTGGTGCGCCTGCGCTGTCTGAAGCTGCTAACCATCGCCACCCTAGAGCCAAGCCCCACCGGGCAGTGATTTTGGTTTCGTTACTCACGAGTTAATGAAATAGCTATTTAAGAGCTCTCTTCAGTCATTAGAATTTGACGGTGGAGAGTTAAACTTTCCCCAGTGGCTCTTTCTGTGTAATCATGGTTTCAGCGTTCCTTAGCATATCACATTATACAAATCATGGAGTACTCTTGTTTTACATTTCTTCTTGCATTTGCCTTACTTCTAAGCAATTTCCTCCTGCTCGCATTTATCTTCCATTATTTCTGTCAAATTGCTTTCAAGGCTACTAATTGTATGAATAATCCCTTCCTCAAACTCTGCTATTAACTAGAATTACCTGTATGGCATCGGACGCAGTTTCCCTATCTCTAAAAACAAGGAAGTTGCAACGAATAATCTATAAGGCCTCTTCTTGCACTTGAATTCTAATCCTCTTATTCTTTTACACGAGCTGTGTGATTTGGGAAACACTGCATAAACTGGAACATCAGTTTTCTTGATTCTGCAATGATGGATTCAATTAGCTCATGTTCCCAAAGTGTGCTTCTTGGAAAACTGTTATGGGAAATATCAAAACGGATCACACCCAAAAAGGCTTGTTTACACAAGAGAGTTTGGGAAAGCTAAGTTAAATAAAGTTAAGTACAGTTTTGAACTGTAGGCACTCACAGTCTTTCATATGTTAATTGGCACTGGATGACTCCAAGAAAGAAGTATTTCCTAGATTTATTGGACCACAGAACGATCTCAGCATTTTGTAAGAATGATATTCCATGGGATACACTTTCAGAAAGGCTGGGTTACATTACTTAAAAGTTCCTTTTTTGCCCAGCAATCTTATTTTAAAATGTATTTATGGATACTACTCTGAGTATTCCATGCAGTACTAATCAAGAGGACACAAAGTTGGCTTACCTGCTACTACTGTTGCCGTAACTGCTGTAACATGGCCCATATTCCGTTTAGACAGAGTTGAAATAGGTAGAGATTAGCAGCCTTCTCACTGAAACTCGTCTGTATGCAGGTGATACTTATAACTGGGGTGCGAAAGTAGTTCTCAGTAAAAAACACTTTGAGAATTTGTGAATAGGGCTAGTTAGAAGACCTATGAGATACTGCCTAAACTTTTGCTGAAGTGCATAAAGGGAAATACAGGAAATAATAGGAAGTTGACAATGTGGAAACAATCTTTGAGATAAGAGACATAGGCTACTTTCTAAGTTAGGATCATCCTCTTCCCCTTCATCACATTCAATCCTTCACCCAGACCCATTTCACTGACTGTTAATCATGTCAGAGCTTCTGCTGTGATTACCTGCAGGAGCAAGAACCCATTGTTTCATAAGGCAGCCTATTCTACCTTTTAGATGGTCCTTTCCCATATCACACTAAAATCTAAGTATTAAATGTTATTACAAGTGATCTTATAAATTATCTAGTCACGGGGTTTTCAAGGCATTGTCCATGGAAGCACTTAAGATGTTTCTCAAATGCTCCAAGTTGAATTTCATAAATAAATAAGTAAATAAATTTCATATCTATGTAGAAAATTGATTATAATCTCTACCATATTAGACTCAAAGAGATTGACTAGCTTCCCTAAATTCATTAAGATAGTAAAGTGGAGAGGGAACATACCCAGATCTCTCTGATTCAAAAACCAAAATCCTTTTCTCAATAGTACAGTGCTTCTTTAGTGTGTCTGTGTACATAAAAGTGAGGAGGAGAGTATATTAGTAGAGCCTGAAAGCTCTAACAAGAATAATGAAAATAGCTTCATTCCAGCCAGGCTAATATGTTCTTGGGTGTCTTGCGATTGCTTTGGCTTTCAGTTTTCCATTCTTAAAAATAAGAATTACCAAATTTTCTCCAAGCTCTATCCCAGTTCTGGAAATTTCTATGATTATATGAAACATGTTCATTAATGAATGGTATTTACTATAGAGAATTTAAGTAATAATAAAAGGAAAAAACCATCACCCCTTAGAAAGGATTGAATGAAAGTTAATGTAGCATGCATCATAAAGACAAACAGTTTAGGATCACATGCTTGACTTTTACTTTCTTTAATTTTTTTTTTCTACACTAGTTACATTCAGACCAGGATAGAGGAGATGGATCACTTAAATATATCCTTTCAGGAGATGGAGCAGGAGATCTCTTCATTATCAATGAAAACACAGGGGATATACAGGCCACCAAGAGGCTGGACAGGGAAGAAAAACCTGTTTACATCCTTCGAGCTCAAGCTATAAACAGAAGGACAGGGAAACCTGTAGAGCCTGAGTCTGAATTCATCATCAAGATCCACGACATCAACGACAATGAACCAATATTCACCAAGGAGATTTACACGGCCACTGTTCCTGAAATGTCTGATGTCGGTGAGTGAGATGTGATTTCGACCATATAATATTTCTCCTCTAGTACGTCAACTGAATAAAGAATCCTATGAGTGAAATTTACTGAGTTGAATGAATTTGGTTGCTAAATTCTAAAAGTATCATAATTCGAATTATTTATGTCCTGTCTGTAGGTATCCCCGTGTTTCCTAATATCATTCTAGTCTCATTTTATTATTTTTGAGAAAACAGCATTTCCTCTCAAGATGAAGGTATGAAAAGTGGCAGGGTGAGAGTTGGAGGCAGAAGGAGAGACCATCTCATCTACTTCCTCTCTCACTCCATTTCTTAGGAAGCCTTTTCTATTTCTGTTAGCCCATACTGGTATTAGGCTCCAGGTAAGGATATCCCCAATGGAAACAAAACTCTGGATTTACCATTCAGACTAAAGAATAATGATGGTTGCTTTAAGTAACTGTATATTTGGAGAAGAGACTCAAAGAAAACTTTTTTTTAATCTATAAATAATACGCATAGGATATTTAAGGGGTATATCCTTTACTAATTGGTGGAAATTAAGAAATTTAAGCAATAGGGAGAATTGATATTTTGTACACAATTCTACAACCAATTTTAAAGTTAATATGTATATTTAATTTTCTTAGATTGGGAGAAGGTAAACAGTGTACACTAAGAAAAATTCCCACTCTTAGCCACATTAATACACTTCATGGGAGACAATGACAAATTTTAAACTACTTGTGTAAGGATTATTTTAATTTTCATTCAGTGTCAAATTCAAAAGGGCTAACTTACATAATAAAAATGTTTCTATAATTCTGTGAATCATAAAGCAGAGCTGTTTAAGTTCACAGTTCCAAGACTTTAAAAATATCTAATCCATAGAAATAATTATAAAACATCTAAATTTTTCTTGCAAAGAAGTTGCTTATCTCATTACTCGAAGTTACTTTTTCTTTTAAAATAAATCACAGACCATCATCAAGCAAAAAGGAAGATTAGAATTCCTTTAAGAGGAAGATTTGTTAGAAATAATATTTTTCCACTAGGTGGTAAAAGGCAGGAAAAATTAATAAGGGATATTCTTGTCATCCGCACCACCCAGAGCAATCATAATCAGATGTGCAAGTTGTCACTGTACAACCATAGGGGGTGCCATTCACTTTTGAAGCCATTATAGAATTAAATATGTATTACAAATATTTAGGGGTGGCTGACAGAAACATGCTTTGAGAAAGGGAAGGCTTTTTTTCTAATTTGCACACAGGCACAGTTATGTTGATATTCATCATTATCATAAATTAACATGTCATTATTCTGATATATAAAGACATCTTTAAGAAATTACATAAAGAAACAATAGCAGGCTGGTATAAATGAACTCTGGTTGCAAACAGACCTGAGTTTGAAGTTATCACTACTAATAAGCAGCAGTGTGGCCTTGGGTAAATGACTTGATTTCCCTAATCTTCCAGTTCCATAGCTATAAAAAATAAACAATAAATGTCAACTTCAAGAGTTATCATGAAGACAAAAGATGAAAACAAGTACAGAGCCCCAGTAAAATATCTGGCAACTAGCAGGTGCTCAAAACATCCAGATAATCACATTCTAAAAACTATTAAATTGTGTATTAATGTCAAATACGAACATGTTTGACTTCTATTAGCTCTCACTCTAAAATCATATGACGGTCTCATTCTCCCCAACTCCCTCGCTAAATTAAAAGGATGCATGCTCTATCTCATGCACCAACATTTGTACATCCTGAGCATCCAACCTTGACACAATACATTTGTTCAATAAATGAAATAGGTTAGATATTACAAAAGCAATGTAAAAATTCTAATATTCCCTAAATGTAACCTCTCTGCCCTGTTCATGGTCAGAACTCTAGTAGTATGCTTACTAGTTATCGAATATGAATACCAAAAGTCGGCCATAAAATGATCTTAATCAGAAGGTCTTCCCCTTTTTTGGAAGTCATAGACCCCTTTGAGAATCAGATAAAATGTATGGAACTTCTCTTCAGTGAAATATACATGCAGGCATATACATAAAAGTTTGCATGGCATTTTATTGGGGTTAGGAGCACTTGAAGGCTATTAGGCAAATGTGGTCCCTAAAATAATAATGCTGATCTAAAACATCAAAGCCTTCTTTGTACACTTAATTGCAATCATTTTGGTATTATAAGTTCCATATGTGTCTCCTCTGCTGTTTCAATTAATTCTTTATTTAATCCAATACTACCTCTTCTAAGGTTCAAGGCCTTTCAGTCTCTTAGAATTATCAAATAGATGTATCATTTAGGATGCTTTTATTTCCTAGGAACAGAAAACTCAATTCAAACTAGTTTAAACACTAGAAGTACTTATTGGCCACATTACTTAAGTCCAAAAGTGAAATGGGCTTTAGACGTGGTTTAATTTGGGTTCTAGCTAGTTCTCTGCAATTTTCTATCTTATTCAACTTTGTTCTCAGGCTGCCCTCTCTAGGGTCACTAAAATAGCTGCTGCCTTCTCAGTCTCCACTTCAGCACATTACAGTTTAGGAAAAAGGGCATCTCTGACACAGAATTTACAGCAAAATCATGAGTGGCCCCCTGACAGGACAACTCCTACACTAAGCCCTGTGGACAAAGTCTTGCAAGATTCTGATTGACTTGAGCCTGGAAAACTTGAAAGAAGCACCATCGTAAGAATCCAATCAAATCCTCTCTTTGGAGATGAAATCACTTCACCCAAAGCCATGATCATTGCCATGCTTCCTAACAACATTTATAAGTGGTGATAACATTCCTTTAGAATGAGGAATCTAAGGCTATTTTAATCTAGCATACTATTGAAGCTCCCCATCCCCTTGCCTTGATAGTTTTATACAAAAGTAAGATCATGCTTTCTTTTTATGTGTGTGTATCAAGGATCTGCAATGGGTCCTCAATTTATTTTTAATTCATGTTGTGTCATTACAGGCACATTTGTTGTCCAAGTTACTGCAACTGATGCTGATGATCCAACTTATGGGAACAGTGCGAAGGTTGTGTATAGTATCCTACAGGGGCAGCCCTATTTTTCAGTGGAATCAGAAACAGGTTAGAACTGCTTTTTGATCTTCTTTTTACAATCTATAATTTTCATTGACATACTCCGCTTAGCTAACGTATTTTTAAATAAAACTCTCAGTGTGATCGAATTTTCTTAGATACGTCTGCCAAATACCAGTGATATATTTATAAGCATAACACCCAAATCATTTTAATCAAGAAATCTGACGACGGATCTTTTATCCACCATGTTTAAATATGGTAGATTCAGAAAAATTATACATCGATTTTTTGTTTTCTTCCACTTTTGGATGAAGCTAGAAGGCCAATCCCTTCTGATGGCCATTTTAGCTCTTTATAAATATTCTGAGTCTTCTTTTTCTAGTTATTTGGTAGGATTGCATCTCTCTACCCTGTTCTGAAGCCAGATGTAGCCATATGATTTATTCAGGCCTATAAAATGTAGCAGTGATGTGAGTCACTTCTAAGCTAAACTTTCAGACCTGGTTTATACAATCTACCATGTTCCATTCCTCTTGCCACAGTGGCCATGGATGGAAACCGATGTTGACATACATCTCCAGCCTGGAAATCTGAGTGTTACCATGAGCATAGTTTCCTGTTGGTCTGCTCAGAGCATGAGCAGAAAATAAACTTCAGTTGTATTATGCAACTGAGATTTTACATTGTTTATTATCACCTCATTGTCTGTCCTATCCTAACTGATGTAGCCTTAATAAAGTGGATTTTGCCTTAATGGAACCCTTTTCTCGACATCTCATTTTTCTGCACTTTCTCCACAAAATAGTATATAAATATGATTTTTTTTTAGTAAATATTGTTTGTACTGTCTAGTAAATGCTACACTTCTTTTTGTTATAATAGGAGTCAAGTTCCTTTTATACATTTTTCAAGCATCCATTATTAGTAGTAGAAATAAAAACCTTTCTAAGTTACTCATCCAGTTGAAATCGATGTGTTAACAGGTGCAATAAACTTGGAAAGAAGCCCAAGGAGAAAGAAAATGTTGAGTTAAAAACAATGAGGATGAAAATTTTAAATTATTAATCTTAAAGCACAAAAGGCTAAGGTGATCTGTATTTAAATAGAGAAGTACTATTATTTCAAGAACAGAAAGCAGCTGCACTTACAGGACTATAAGAATAAAATCGACCTGTTCTCTACGGTATTCTTGTTAAAAATAAAAAAAATAAAAAAAGATATTTTCAGCTTCATTAGTTGTTAAGCACTGGAACGTGTTACCAGAGAGGGTTATAAAGACTTCTCCAGTGCTTTTTTTTTTGAAAGAAAGTTGTCAATTTAAACATAAATCCTACATAGAGATTAGGCAAACTTTAAGAAGTTTTTTCCAACTAATTATTTTATAACTACCTAACAATAGAGGTAAACTTAACTTAAGAATGTTGGTCACTACCGGGACCCGTTGAACTAATGTTCACATTAGCTTTAGGAAAACTTAAATTCCCTAGGATCATACAATATGGTAATTATGAGAGAACTGATGCTATGTTTTTTTAAGACCATAGTTTTGTGGTTTAGAAAATCCTCAGAACATTTATTACGGTGGGTATATTAGCTGAGCAATTAGCCAACTCAGTAAAGTGAAACTCAAGTCAGTTCATGTATATGATTTCTTAACAATTCCTTCATAATACACCTAAATGTCTTTTACCAAGCAGCTTCAGTCTTATATTACTGTGCCACATGCCAAATAATACCTTGCTGTGTCATCTTGTAACACTTAATATTTATACTACTTATAGCCTCTACTATTGCAGGGTTTGACTTATTCTCTCTGTTTTACAGGTGGGTTTTTTAAAAATATATCTATCTACCCTGCGTGGTTTTAATTTCCTTCATTATAAAGGCTAGCTATAATCATTTTTATGTCACCTAAGACATCTGCATAGTGTTATACAATATTGTGGGTGACAATCTGTATTTGTTTGCATAAATAAATGATTCCTAAAATATTTTTAATATATCCCTTTCCACTTCTGAATTTCATATCCGTAGGTATCATCAAGACAGCTTTGCTCAATATGGATCGAGAAAACAGGGAGCAGTACCAAGTGGTGATTCAAGCCAAGGACATGGGCGGCCAGATGGGAGGATTATCTGGGACCACGACCGTGAACATCACGCTGACTGATGTCAACGACAATCCTCCCCGTTTTCCCCAGAGTAGGAACATTTGATGGAATGACTTTCTTCAGTGCATTTTTGTAAAACTCTAACTTCAAGAATGATATTTATTTTTCCCTTATTGTTATGTTCAAAATTAGTGGATTTAGTAAGAACCGGCACTTTTATTAAAAATGAGCTGACAGTGCTTACATTCAATAGATGTGAACATTTATGTTCCTGTATTGGTAATTATCTGAGCAATTTCTGATATGGCCGTGGTCATAAAAGCAACATCATTGTTTTATTTTTCCTTATTAAAAAGACAACCACAGACATAAATTTGCTTGTGCAGAACACATGTATCCAACAAGCATGCCGCTGTTTGTTAGGAAAATTTTGACTTTATATTTTGTGAATTTAATCAGCTGTGTAATCTCTTTTAAATCCTCACAAAGCTCTGTAAGGAGAGGATTTATCATTTTACTGTTTCTAAAAATACATCTGTGGAAATAACTATGTACTTAATCCATTTGTACTCATAAATAGTTTTCTACATTATGGTTAATTGAGATCCTGAAAGACATCTCTAAAATCATTAACTCTCATGATTACAGAAGAAGGAAGAAGAAGGAAAAACAACATTCATAAATGCCCACTTTGTATCAAGCAGTGCACTAGACCCTTTCACGTAGAGCACCTCAAGTGGGTACTGGTTTTAATGTAATTTTCTTCCAAGAACAAAATTCCTTTCTGACCATGATTTCCTAAGAAAATTACCTGAATCCTGTCTTCCAGAAGAAAATAGCTGCCCAAATATTAAATAGAAAACCCACTTAATCAATCATGGCATTTTCTAAAGCTGCTCAGCTAACATTTGCTTCTTTTATAGTGAAGATGCACATGGATCAACAGGAAGTAGTTTTATTTTCTTGACTTTTTTCAAGTAATTAATCATAGTTGGCTAAATACAAAAACAGAATAGCTAACTAATTTCTGATTAAACAGGTAGAAGAAAGGTTTTAGGAACCCTAAACTATCCCCCACAGAGGCCCAAAGTGAAAATATTGGGATCGCTGACACTTTACCTAAAAACCTCCTTTTCCATACGGAAATGGATAACAAAAGGATTGATCCCCACCTTGATGTCACGGAGACCCTACCTCACCCCGCTGTCTCCTTGGGTAGCCTGTGATCATTAGTGAATAATGTACTGAGGCATGAGAAGGCAGAATATAGAAAGGGGTAGGGGACACTCCAAGTGGAAGTTGAATACACCAGAGAAAAACTTGGCTTGTTATCATTTTAACAAGGATGAGCCCAATACTAGTGGGTTAATATTATTGAAGGATTATATTCTAGTGGTGTCATAGTCTAAATTTTTTCCAAAATAATTTGTATGTATGGCTGGAAAAATGTATGAGATGACATAAGAATAAGTTTTGTTTTACTATTTTATTTTTTTGGCCCTTAGTCCATGCTGGCCTGACAGATCTAAGTTGAAACTTATATGTTGCACATGTAAACTAATTTTGCAACATGAGGACATAAGAAAAGTATAAGTCTGTGAAATACAGGTTTCTAATTAGTAATATAAAGTCAAAAATGGGAGAAATCTATGCATAGAAAAAATAACATAATAAAACTTAAAAGAAGAAATTAATCAAAAGGAAAAACATTAAGAACTTTATCTTTCAATATATTTACCTATATCCCTAACTGCGACTAGACTAGCTCCATGTGTAAGTGAGAGTATCTACTAGGATTCATTCTCCAAATTGCTGTAATTTATTTTCACCTTCAGTTATTATTAGCAATGACAGAAAGAACTCTTTTTAAAATTACCTAGTAATTGGCTTAAAGTCGCAGTTCAGTTTAAATTCTTTTCTATTCTTTCTGCTAGATTACATTAACAGGAGGCTTTGAAAGCTTCTGCACCCTCTTCTTCTAACAGTTCAGTCTTTCTCACAATCACACCATAAACTTGGAAGCCTATTTACAGGACAAGAAAAGTGTTCTCCATTTGCAAAGAGACAGGTATGAAATAGAAGAAATATTTGTAACAATCATGAAAGTAAAGACGTACGGAAAACAGGGCACCATTAATTATTTTAAGGAAAGCACAAATCTGCTCTCATCCAGGGTAATGCCTGAAAGAACTGCTAGAAAATAGGCTTTGTCTCTATTATAATAGAATATATTTAGTATACACATGTTTGACTTATATATTTCTGGTGGTTAATAGGTACATACCAGTTTAACACCCCTGAATCTTCCCCACCGGGTACACCAATCGGCAGAATGAAAGCCAGCGATGCCGACGTGGGAGAAAATGCTGCAGTTGCATACAGCCTTACCGAGGGAGAGGGGCTGGACATGTTTGATGTCATCACTGATCAAGAAACCCAGGAGGGGATTATAACTGTCAAAAAGGTAATGCTATCTGTTAAATACCATACAAATGAATGCATTTGAGTTTCTCTGGTCCCCAAGTAACTGGGGACAATTACATCTCACATAAATATTCCTCTAGGTTCTCGTTTTACTAAGTATTTTTTTTAAAATACCAACTCTAATTACATTTGAGATCTCTTCAGTTGGCTTTTAGGGGTCTGCAATAATCTTATGCATTTGTTAATTCCATACTTTCAATACATTTTTATCAAGAACCTCTTACGTAAATAAAGAAGCAAATGGTATACATAAAAGTACATAAAATAAATAATATAAATGAACAATAAATTTAAAAAACAGTGCCAGACACTGTTCTAGATACTGGAGGCACAATGGTCCACTGAACAGGATGGTCTCTGCCCTCACAGAACATACATTGTAGGGAGAAAAGAGATAAGGAAATAAATAAACAAACATGTGTATCTATAACTTTGATACATACTTTGAAAGAAAAGAGGAATACAAGCAGAGATAATGATGACCTGAATTAGAAAGAGAGGAGATATAAAGACCACAAAAATAAATTAATTAACACAAATTTCCTGAAACACTTTTAGCTATTTTTAGAATACAATAATAAATTTTTTATATTCTGAATTCCTATTCCTCCCATGTATTTATTCACTATTCATCCCCTCAAATTGTCTAGTGTGACAGAGCAGTATACAAAAGTGTGGCAACAATTAAAAACTAATAAACTATGTGCTTCAAAGCTAAAAATAATATTAATTTTGGTTACTTTTTTACTGATTTCACTTATGTATGGTGTAATATTTTCTCTCTCCTTTAACACACTGTTATATTTGCTGGTAAATATAAGCATAGGGAAATGTAAATAACAAGAAAATAATTTTTTTCCTCTTTGGATTACATGTCTTAATAACTGGAAACACAATAAAACATGTTTAAGTGACACTCAGACCAATGTTTTATACTATAATATAATTAAGAAGCCCATTAGTGTGCATTAACCTTTTTAATTTTTCTGGTGCCTTATCAGATTCAAACTGAAATTTTGCCTAGCTGACTAAATCACATTCACTAATGTCTTGATTAATTGTGTTTCTAGTGAGTCTTGTCATGTTATCATCTAAAACTAAAAGTCAGCAATAAGCTGACTCTTTTGGGGGGGATTCACTATGTCTCCAGAAGCAAGGATACTATCCTAAAGACCTCTGACAACAATGATCATTACTTTCTTTGGCAAGTAATTAGCCCAATGCCCTTATCAGAATAGCACTTGGAAAATTTTATCACCTCATGCAAAAAAAAAAAAAAAATTAATCACTTTATATGAATAAGGAAGAAGGAATCATCATGCAAGCCTGTGCTTCTCAATTCTGGCTGCACATTAGAATCACTAGGGGAGGTGTTTAAATGTACAGATTCCCATCCTCCCCCCGCAGACACTTTGGTTTAATGGTCCAGGATAAGGCTCAGATATTGGCAAATTTTAAACACTCATCAGGTGTACAGTTAAAGCCAGACGCGACACTATCTAACCCAGAATAATCTACCACTCACTCCTGCTTCCAAGTTCCCTTTCCTGCCCACTATGCCTTGCACCCCTGCATCCATTTTCAAGGCAAGAGCAGGGATGGTTTCAGCCCATGCTTTCATCGAGATCGTGTGGCATCTGAGCTTCCATACCTTTGCCCAGTATCACACCATGTAGTGACGTGTCTAAGTAATATAATCCTATTCATTTACCAGTCACGTGCACTGAAAATGGTTCATGTCTTGGCTTTCTGTGTCTCATTGGCTTTAAATATGTCATTCTTCCTCCCCCACACACAAGCTCTTGGACTTTGAAAAGAAGAAACTGTACACCCTCAAAGTGGAAGCCTCCAACCCTCACGTCGAACCTCGCTTTCTCTACCTGGGTCCATTTAAAGATTCAGCCACTGTTAGAATTATGGTAGAAGATGTAGATGAGCCCCCCATCTTCAGCAAACTGGCCTACATCCTACAGATAAAAGAAGATGCTCAGATAAATACGACAATAGGCTCGGTCACAGCCCAAGACCCAGATGCTGCCAGGAATCCTGTCAAGTAAGCACACTTCTGCACCACGTCTCTGTTAGAAGTTTCGGTCGATTTATATTGAGATACCTGCCCGCATGTTGGAAAAAATGAATCCTTTTTATTTCCAATTCAACACTGTGTCTTCCTGAAAAACTACTCTAAACAGCATCTTTTCTATCCTTGCTCATCATAAATATTATTTGAGCAGCAGCATACACTTTAAAAACACGAAGTTTGGGAAGGAAAAACATAAAATGAGCTATAAGGAGTTTACTGCTTACATAGAAGAGGTAGAAGGTAATGCCTCTGAATGGCCTGAGATTTCTTTTTTAAGGCCTTTAATATGTGAAAGAGTGATGTGGGGAAAGCGTCGTGAGAATCTGTTTTTCAAGTGTGGACAAACCTACCGAGTAACACTTAGAAGCAGAATTATGCTCCATTTGGGTGCGTAATTTTTTTCTTTTGCACGAGTAAATAAAAATGAGAACCATTTCATCATACGTGTTTGTCAAATCCTGGGAAAATTAACAGAGCTGAATCCAGTTGATACCATGTAAGCAAGCACTATTTTCCCTGTACTTTCCTTATGCCTTAGTTGTAAATCATGTTGCAAGAAAGCCCCACTGCTCTAAGACCGTTGATGCTTCAGTGTACACTCTAGAATCTTATCATGAAAGCACTGGAGTGCACCAGCCTGCAGCCATTAGCCAGAAGCTGAGTTGACTAGATGAGAAAAGTGCTAAACCAGAATATCATTGTGTAAATTATTCCCCATAAAGAAAGCAAGCAGGCTGAGAAGCTAGAGGAGCTCTCGCCAGAGAATCCACAAATATATTCTAATCAGGGCACCTGCCTTGTACTAGGCAGGCATGCTTA